TAATTCTGCTATTAGCTATTATTGAGTATTAGTAAGTAATAGAAAAGGCAGCACATGCAGTAATAACAGCAGCAATTAATAATTATTTTAATTGTATTTACTTCTTGATTGCGAGTTACACCATGTTTTGCGATCTAAGTATTAACTTCATATACCAAACAGCAACTCACTATCTCTTTAGTAATAATGAATGAGTGTTTATGAAAAACACGCAGTAGCAACTTTATAAATATTTTCAATTGGAAGCAAAAATCACATGTAAGTCCAATACAAGTATATTATAAGATTATTGATCGTAAGAACAATACAACTAATCAGTAACACCAAGATTATGGATCTCTAATGGGGGGGGAGGGGATTAATACTTGTAAATGGTTACAAAAAAAATTCGGATAAGAATTGTACTGGAAATGATGTAATTAAGTTGAGGTTAATACAACTGCAAAAAGAAAACATTTCAAACTGAAGAATAAAATCAAACCATCTTATGACAACATATCATGACCACTTTAGAAGTGAATGACTTCTTACTCAATACAGATTCAAGAGTCAGTTCAAACCTTTTTGACCTCCTAAAAGTTGAGTAATAATGGTTCTCGCAAAGCCCCCCCGTTTCTCTACTTTTTGCAGATTTTAAGAACAAGAAACAACCAGCAGAGCTCCACGTTCCACTACATATTTGCTCCCCTATCGCCGGGTACACAAACACCAGGTACTACAAAACACGTGTAAAAATCCAAAATCGTTCCACCGCCACGTAATGAACGTCCAGCAAGCACTTGAGGCGATTCTCCTCTGCCCCCGTGCCACTGCTGACCGCCTTGGGGCGATACCCTCAGAGGAGGGCCCACAGGCTTCCCAACACGAGAACTGCCACTCTGCTGTCCGCCTGCTGGACAGGCACCATGTCTCTGTGGCATTGTGCACCGTTCGGACGAGAAACAAAGAATTCAGGGCCTTTCCTTTCCCCTGCTGAAGCGGCCCTTAAAGAGCACGCGCTGGAGAGAAGCCACGTTTCCACACAGCATTCCCCCCCCAAAGACAAAAATAAACTGATCAGAATTTCTGAATTCACCGGAAACCGACTAAATTCCCCATCTCGTCACACCACTGCACATCCGACGGCCCCGTTAAATTTTGCAGCACTCTGAACGCGGAGGAGGAAAACAAAAAGACAAAGGAGAATCTTTTTTTTTTGTTTGCAAAATCACAAAACTATCTTGTTGTGGTGTTTTTCCC